CTAATAATAATTTGCAAGTAATTGCAAATAAATAAAAAATTGCGAATAGAGTCACTATATTATATGATAGTCATTATTCGTTGTTTATCTATTCAATGATTAAAATAGACAAGCCTAGGTTGACTTTGGAAGGTATAATTTTAATTTTTTATTTGTATTGAATTAAACGAGAAATATTTTTATTTGAAGTACGTGATTTAGGTCTTAAAATATTAACTAAAACGTATTCATTTTACCCTAAATAAGGCAACAAATAATTTTAAAGCCTCTAAGAGGTTTGATTTTTTTTTTAATATAAATACAAACATGTGTGGGTACTTCAATATAATATCATAGTTATTCCAATGAAATCAGATTTAAAAATGCAGAATAAATCCCAAAACATATAGGTATATTTGAATAAAACTTCCAGTTATGTAATGAAAAAAGTGGATTATTTTAAATATTTATTTTATTCAATTTTTAATTAAATCAATTTTTTTATAAATAAGCGTATTTTTAAATGGAATTCTTCAATTCAGTTCGTCGATAAATTATTTAAAATTTGAATAATCGCAATTTGCATATGCTTAATTATTAGGTATAATACTTTAAAAATTCTGCAGTTTTAATATTTAAAAAAATATATTGTGCTGGGATACTTACAACGTGCATTAATTATAATATGTACGTTATAATTTTTGTGTTTATTATATAACAAGGAAACCCGCAATTTGAATATTTTAAATAATTGTTTATTGGGATACTTTAACTTCCGTCTCTACATAATTTTATAAGACGCGTCTTCTGTTATGTTCTCTATAATTTATGTAAACTAATTTAAGTAAATTTACTATGCAATTTTAAACGTACTTACTCCTCAATAGTAGGTACGGCGTCGCAAGAAACTGGACATTTTTTATAGAGCATATTAAAGCATCCCACACATTTTGTTATATCCTGCAGTGTTAATAATAGCAAATAGGTGTAATTGCTGTCGCAGCAAGTTTATTATTTACTAAATTATTTTACGTTGTACTATACATATTAAAGTTATGTATAATATATTCGTACAATAATTTACAATACTAGACATATTTGTTGTATCTACATATAAGGCAAATGTTTTGATTACTCATGAGTCATGGTCGTTGCTTTGTCTCAGTATCCTGTATCAATATACACGAAATGAATAATAATGTTGCGTTATTAAGTTAAAAAATAAATCATTTTTTGTTTTATCAAAAAATAGGAATTTTGTTATTTTTGGTTCTCATTGTGTTCCTGATTTAGACGCAAAATATGCTTTTATAACAAAAAGAAAAATATAATTTTAAACTTTTAGCTGACATGAGCTAAAAAAAGATTAGATATTAGCGTTTAAGTTTACTGTATCCTTATATTGATAGTGTTTGTTTTACAAGAAGGCACTATGACAGTTGCATTTGTAGAATTTCGATATTTGAGTATTGAGAAAAAAAAATCATCATTAGAACCTAACACCATAATTTATTGACAGGTATCTGATAAAATTACAGAAATAAGTTACACATTTTTGATAAAAAAAAAAAAATGTTTATTTAAAATACATGCGTCTATAAAAAACTATACTATGAATGTCTTTTCTTACATTTTTATACTGCTTACATACTAATTAGAAAAAATTAATTAATAAAACGGTTCAGCAAAATTCAATTTGAATTATTTACTTGGTAAACTTGTTTTTTTTTTTTTGAAATTTTTTTCACCGTATAGAACTTGACAGGTATATAATATGTCCTACGGTTTACAGACACGCTTTCTTAAGAACCACGAGACAGCTTGTTCAATATTATTTAAAGTATATTGTACTTTTTATTTTACTTTGTTTGGGGTATGATTTTTGTAGTCTTTTTACGGTGAGTCTTAAGCGACTGTCATTACCAAATTCTAGTTACGCTAATGACGTGGTTATCACCAATTAACATTTTATTTTTTACAAACAATTTATTAAAGGTTCTGCAGTATTAGGATTTTTGATAAAAAAAACCGGTTTACCCGGGATCGCCAAGGACTAAACGCATACACGACGTTAGTTGCGCAAAAATATAAAAAGTGCTTCTTTTAGATGATTATTTTAATAGAGAATAAAATAAGTCGTTGTATCAGTAAACAATAATATCAATTATAATCGTAAAATAACATATTATTGTGTTGGACATATAATGTATAGCTTCTAGTTTCAAATGCCACCAAACGTGCTAAATATCATAGCTTAGCAGTAATGGTCAAATAAAAAATTGGAAAAGATTTTCTCAAGGATAATACGAATAAGTCGCAAAACTCGTTGTATCATTTAAAAAAAAAAATAGGCTCTAAAAATAACGATGATTGTTTAATAACAAATATAGTGTCAATACGATTAGCTAAACAACTGATTTGTTTTTTTTTTAAACACGCCAGCCGTTTATTATAAGTGAACGTTATTCTCGATTTATCATATTTTGGAATATAATCTCTTATACATTGTGTGGCCATTTTCTGAAAAGTAATTTTACTAGAAGCGTAGAATAAGCGAATACTAGTCTAGTCCTTTGAGACATACTGCGAAACGTTAGCGTGTTACACGAAACGCTCAGGTACAGCTATAAATCTTAACCATTATGAAAATTGTTTGTAATTCAGAAGAAAATTGGAACCATTTTATTAGGATTTGATGAGAATGAGTGATCGGAAATCTCCTGAAGTACAATGCGAGGCATCCATGCAGTGTGAATAACGTGGGAAAATGTCCAACTTCCTCAACCTATAGTTTTGTTTTTCGTTTAAGATTTCTGTGTAATCGTTATCGTCAAATTTGTAAAAGTTATTTTTGACCATCTGATTAAAATCGATTTTTTTAGTTCATTAACGGCCTTTGAAATGAAAATAATAATAATAATAACGTGACGTACGGATCTAACAATTCAACACAAGAACATTAATTATAGTTGGATTAAATAGTAAGGTCAACTAAATGACTTGACCATGTTGCTTTAGCCTTTAACTAAACATTTAGTTGGCCTGAATGTGTATTTAGTTATTCCAACTATAGATTTTTCGTGTCATTATATTAATCATTGTTTTAGTTAATTCAACTTCGTATACATTCTAAACCCGATCGACTACATAATTGGAATGTAGAATGTTATAGGTAAATGGAATCCATTTACAATTAGGTTGTTTTATAATTTAAAATCGTTGGACGGTATTACGTTATAAGAGGTAATTTACTACACGACCGGTACCCTAATTGTTTAGAACAGGATATTTAATATATATACATATATATTGTAATGTTGGTATTTAAATATTAATTATTTTACTACTATTTTTGCTGTGTTAGAGCAGTTTCTTTTATATTTTACACTTATGAAGGATTCTGTTGAATGGGTGAAACAAGGGAAGCAAAATCAAGGAGTGTTTACTGTTTACATTGTATTTCTCAATAGTTCTCATCAGCGCCTTTACCCTTGAGGCGATTTAGTAATTGAACGGTTCAGACAGGAACTGTTGTTGTTTATTGTTTTTGAACATTTGTCATGTCGGATGTTGTTGGCCTAGAAAACATCGGAAATGACTTAAACACAGCTTATTCATTCCTAAAAATCGAGCATAGTAAACTTTCCAGAAATTCTACGGCAAATTTAACTGTAATTATACATATGGAATCAAATCAGGTTTTCGACATTATGTAAAAGAGGTGCAGCTGTCGTTACATCTAAAGAGAAACAAGTCAGCCGATACCGATTTTGAACATAATGATTTATCGCTATTAAACAGTTTCAATGTCATTATTGATGATAATCCGTATTGCAGGATTGAGTTTTTTTTTTTTAATTGTACTGTGTTATTAAAAAATCTGTACTTACGCAACAACGTCGTTTTCTAAAAATAAAATGGACAATTAAAATTAAAAAGTTTGAGAAAAATGACATAACGGTATGATAAAGTAGTTGATATCACGACGACCACTCGAGAAACATGGTTAGGCGGTAAAATACGTTTAAAGCCTACGTCCCGTCTGTCATCTGATGGTCGTAGCGCCTACGTTTCGCGTCGCAATAGCCAGCCTTACTGTAATAATAATACGGTGACGGTTAAATATTTTCATGACATCATATTATATACTGCTGTAATTGATGATGCGAGACGTCTTCGTGTTTCATTTAACGTTAATCGAGATTTTTTTTTTTGCTGTATACTTGCACAATACCGCTTTGTAGTTTGACTGTTGACTTAACACGCTGGTGCAGTCGTTAACAGTAAACGGACTGACGACGAACAGAGTGAGACTTGGAGTTTGCTCGGGTTTTTACAACAACCGTATCGTTTATTAACAGCTGAAACTGTCCTGGGACCAGATGGATAACGCATAACCTTTTTATGAAGATTTTTGCCGTCCTGGATAGTTTAATTTATTTGAACCGACAAGTGACAACTCTTGGTTTCGGCGCGTAGCTGAGAAGGTAATTTTTTTTGTCCAAATCCACAATATCTTCTAAACTCTTGAAACGATTTCTTCATGTATCAACTTTTTATATATATATAGGTACTTAATTGGGCCAATAATTTAAAAAGTTCACCTGTGACCTCTCCCTCCTGTACTGGCTTTTGTTAATTGGTCCTCCTCAACAAACGACAGCGACAACAAAAGGTAGTTGTTGTTGTCGATGTAAATGATGGTCATAAGCGAAACGGGTATTCAAATCTAGGACTACAGAATTATAGCTATATTGTTTGTTATTATTATTATTATTGTATACAACGGCGATCCAAGACAGTGCAATCGAATCACACGCAGAGGCGTAAAATCCGGCAGCCGTTTGCGGTGACCACTAAAATACGTTGACCTTGAGCGTACCCGCTCCTTTGTGCCTGTGAACTCGTCGCTTTGCCGGTCGAGTTACGTTACACAGCGCAATGCAGAACGTATTCATATCCCGTTCGCGGAATAAGCATGGGTAGGGGGATGTCCGTCCTTCGGCCGGTGACCGCCGCCGTTCGGTACTCTACCACATGAGAATCGTGAACATAAACGTTCAGAATGACCGTAGCGGCCGAACGCGCGCGATTCCGTACGTAGACGTAAAAATAAAAATCAAAACGAATAATAATAATAGTAATAATCGCTTTTGGTGCGTTATTTTTTTTTCTTTTGTTTGTTTTATACATTTTGTTTATTGTGCGTCTCGTCGTCGTATATACCATAGAAATCGCGTCACTGCCGCCGGATCCGTCGATAACCATTGTTTTTTTATTGTTATTATTATTATTATTAAAAAAATAATAATATTGTCGAATAATTTTACGAACGATTATAAACTGTAATATAGCCGTACCGTAGACGATACTCTGAATGTACGTTTGTTGTTATGTGAGAATCGTTATCGAAAACTATTGCGTTGGTCATAGCTTTTCTCTCGAGCATCAGCGTACGAAACCGCGTTTCGTCGAGAGTTTCTAGTTAAAGTTAATTTAAAGAACGGTCGGAATATGTTGAATCTGTTCGCGTGTGACTATTACACCGCTCTGGTGACGGTCCTGTTGGTGTTGGTCGTGCTTTACTGGGCGTTCGAGGTGCATTACTTCGCGAGGACCCTTTGGTGCGCCGTCACGTGCAGAGTGTTCAAGAAGTACGTGCACGTGCTGGACACCACCTCGTACTCGTCCGCCTGTCTGACCACCGACGTGGACTTTCTGCTGTTCCACATGAACAACTCGCGGTACCTGAGGGAGGTGGACTTTGCCAGGACCGAGTTTTACATGCGCACCGGCCTGTGGAAAGCGATCCGGGACAAGGGCGGTCTGCCCGTGCAGGGCGGCACCAGCATCCGGTACCGGAGGTTCATTCGGACGTTTTCGCTGTACAGCATATCGTCCCGGATCGTGTACTGGGACCAAAACTCCATCTACATGGAACACCGGTTCGTCAGCCGGGGCGACGACTTCATCAACGCCATCGTGCACTGCCGGAACAGGGTGATCAACTGCGACGTCAATCAGCTGATGGAAGAGCTGATGACCGAAGCGGCGAAAAAGTGCCCCGGTCAAGTGGAGGCGCCCCGCAACAAGCCCGAGTGTCCGCTGGAAATTCACCACTGGATCCAAGCCAACCTGGTGTCCAGCGCCAACCTACGCAACAGCAACTAGCCGGTGGACGAGTAGCTCCGGTATACGGGCGCCGCCAAGCCCGTTTCCAAGACGGCCGGATGGTCCGTGGACGGCGTGTCTGGATTATGGATTCGAGAGCAGAACGTTTCATCCGGAACGGTGTCCGTCAAGCGTTTCCTCGTCGGCTACCGCCAAAGTTACCGGAGGGCTCGAACGCCCGTCTTTTTATCCCGACTGAGAGTGTACATTACCGCGTCTAACCCAGTAAGACTTATTTAGTTTTTAATAATTTATACACTGCACGAATGCGCTCGGTGTGTGTGTGTGTGTGTGTTGCTTGTGCGTGTAAATGTTTAGCACAACGCGAAATAGTGTTGTCACATCTTATTATTTTGTATATACTAAAAATGTAATACCGACAACATACAAACATACACACACGCGCGCGCGCATACGGCCGTGGTCGTTCGATCGGTGCGCGGAACGTGTAATGGGTCCGCCGCTCGTGCCGTTTTTGTATTTTTATTTTTTTGCTATTTTGAAATATTGAGTTCGCCGGAGAAACGCGTGTCCGTTATGTATATCAGATAGGAAGGTCAGGCAAATGCAATCGATACTTGATTATACTTATATATATCATATTATAATACGCTGCACACAGCTGAATGTTGTTCAGTGTTCTAGTCATTAAACTATATTATAGTTTTTTTTTTTATAATTTTTACCGTAACACCTGTATTAATTTTTTAACTTTTGTTTTTTTAATATATATTTTTTTTACATTTTTCACGTATTGGGGTATGAATTAACGCGAGCGGGTTTTCTATATTTTTATTCTTTTATATAGTGTCGATCACAAAAGTACCTCGATAGCTTTTTAATCCGATTAGGGTCCACCGTTTGTCCGACCGACGTGTAAATAATGTAATGATAATGTTGTGTAATCGCCGCGATATCAATATAATTCCAATACATAACAGTATAGTAAAGTTATAGACAAACAGCAGCCTCGGTACACATTTGTAAGTACACTGCCGCACCGATCTCGATCATATTTCGTTATTACATCTTATTTTTAATGTATTGTGATATTGTACTATAGAAATATTGTTTTTTTTTTTTGTATTACCATTTTTATTTTATAAGACTTATTATGATATTATAATATGTATAATATGAAAAAAAAGAAACGTGCTCGTTTTTGTTTTTCAACACTCACAAGGGCGTTGACACGTCCGATGTTTATATGGTTTTTGGTCGCCACGACGAGTAGATGGTAAATTTGATATTATTTAGAACTGTGTGTAAGCCATTGCAATATTATAGCTACCGTGTTTAACGTATCGAAATTGTTGAGTTTTTTTTTTAAATTTTTATTAGTATTATTACTGTTTTTCCTTTCTTATACGTAGCTCATATTATACTTCTTTGCTCCGTCCAACGCCGTCTTGCAACACGGTTGTGTTATTGTTTCTTCCGCCGACACGGTTTCCAAAAAAACAAACAGTATACTCAAGTGTGTGATGATTGTGTTCTACTCGTACGGACAACGATTCACGAATAATAATAACAGAGGGGAAAAAAACAACAAAATAGCTACTTTTCGCCACGGAGGTGGCAGATGTTACCCCGAGGTCAGATCTAGACTGCAGGCTGAACGGTATCTCCTTTGTAGTAATATATGCAAACACCGCACCGTCGATTGGGACAAAAAGGGAGAGAAATTGTTTTTTTTTAGAAGTGTTATTATACGATATTTGTATTCGTTATAGGTCTTTTTCTCATTTTTTGGTCCAAGGTTTACAATCTGTTTTGCACAAATTGCGACACGCCGTAAAGTAATAATGATAAATAATCATAATTCATAAAAATAATAATAAAAAAAAATCTCCAGCGCTCAATGGGTATCGACCGCGTTGACCAGTCGAGGAAGTTGACCTCACGCATTATGGAATACTTTAAAACCGGTATAATTTGTATTATATTATTATGTTTATAACGTCGTCATGTGCGTGTACTGTATATTTCCGATCATTCAAAAATACACGTGAAACTCTAACATTCGGATGAATTTACTTACATATATTATATGATGACAGTTGTCAGCCATTTGATAACGTTTTTATGAAATGAGTCGTCTAGTTTGAAAACCAGCTAAAAGCAATTTTTGAAATTGTTCACAAACAACAAATAATTTCTTCAGATGGGCGATTTTAATACCAACCAAGATTGCTCCAACGCGGGTTGAGTTAGTTTTAATCTTTATTTAATAGTTTTACACACAATAGTTTAGTGTGAAAAAAATAACACGTTTTCAAAATGTCATTTTGAAACTAAACGCCTCAAAATAATATATAATTACAAGCAAAACGTTATCGTTTATCCGTGATCGCGGGACTTGATATTATGTCGATACTTTAGATATTATTTTTGTACTTTATTGCAATCGGCAGCTACTGTTTTTTTTTTTTTTTTTATAGCTGTATTCTATACCGATACCGCAACATTATGGTGTCCGGTGTCACGTTGGCTACGGCTCCTGATCGAGTTATGTCATCATACTTACCGTAGGTTAGGTTGTCCGCGATCGTCTCCGAGTGAATCATTAAGAAAAAGAGGAGGACTTTACAGCGAGTATTTACCGTGTAACAATGAAATTGAGCCGGACAGTCTTATAACTAGGCCGGCCGGTACCCGCGACGATCGTCTGGCGCGGTGTTGACTTTTTAAACGTTTAAAAGTTGTGCACGAGACGTGGTTATTCGGAGTAGAGTGTTTCAGGTATTTTACACCTTGGCCTACAACCGGAGACACAAACGAAACCGGTTTGGTTTTGCGCTTTAAACAGAGAAACGCGTAACGCACACCTTTGACAGTGTACAATAGTAAATGTGTGCGCGTGACCCTCCGACGGCAGCGCTCACTTTCAACTTGAAGCCGTGCCTGATTTGGGAAGACAAACGGTCAGACATTGGACACATCGGAGCCGCAATCGATGTGCCAATAGGTATACACACACACACACGCCAGTTGTTCAGACGAATGTCCTAGTAAAAAAACGTCATGGCCCGGGTAGAACTAGGTATAATGTGTATATAAATACCATGTTTATGATATTATAGGCGCGGAGTGGACACTGTGTTAATTTAAAATAACACATCCGAACATGTCCGTCGGTGGAATTGCGAAATTTCCATCACAGAATGTGAAACCTACATACGTACCTACCAATATGTTTTTTTTAAATTTAATTTTTGCCAAAAATTATACAACACATTCATGGTTACAATGCATTTTTTTAGAATTTCATAATAAACTGAACGGTTTATAGTAAATTTGTTACCGTATACTAACTATAATTAATATTTGAAACAACAAACAAAAAAAAAAACATTCAACGATTACCAGACAAGTAAACAGTTTAAATGTATAGTGGTAGTTATGCTTGTTTACGGTTGAGAACGCCAATATTATGTCCAAGATGAGTGTATCGAATAAGGAAGCGGGGTTAATTAATAAATTGCTTACAAAAAATACTAGCGGAAGTAACAATAAGTACTTAGGCACAAGCAAGTATCTACCAACCGACACTCTTTGTTGCAATACCAGCGGGTTCGCGAGTTTTGTTCCAGTACGATAATATTTTGAAATCGCTTACCGGTAAAACAGGAGTATTCAAATAATATAAAATGACAGCATCTATTTTGAGACCGTAGTTGGTTCTCGAATAAAAAACAAAACTCATTGATAAACGATTAAATTCCAATAAAATCATTTAACTAAAATGTGACCGCCTTTAATTTCCGTATCGCATAAAACCGTTAGCAGCTCAACACAGTATTACTATGCGAAAGCGTCGTCCGTTAGTGTTATTATTCCTGTAAAATATAGAGAAAACCTAGAATGTAATAATTGTATTATAATATAACTTCTGATTTCGACTTTAAAATAAATTGTTTTTTTGTTTAAAAAAACAAGTAAAAATAAAACACATTTTTTTTAAAAATTATATACATTTATTTTTTCAACATTTTTGCCGTAAATTAAATTATTAGCAATTTCAGACGTGGCTATACTGAGATATTAACTTAAATTATGTTACAAAAATATCATACCTTTACGGCATTGTCTTTTTTAAATTCGTATCCTGCTGCTGTGCAAAAAATTGAAATGGCACTTTTGTACCGTTAGTTTTTATGGCGTGGTTTGAATCCAGTTATTTTAGCGTTGGCGTCACGAAAATTGTAAACAGTTTAAAATATATCTATATGAATAATAGTAAATTATTTATTTATTCGTATAATGGTAATAATAGTGATAATTTTCTAGAAATTTCCTTTTTATTTTACGGTTATTATTATAAGTAGGTATAGGTAACATATTTGTAATATGTCTTTAACTCAATAACGTAGGTTAGATCGTGAAACCGGTTTTAAGTAAGTATGAATACTTTTTAAAAAAATAATTTCAAATCTAATAGAAATATCAAATTTAAATTACGATTAAAATATTATCTATACACTTTAAGCATTCGTTTTTATTTTCCCATCGTTGATCCACTTAAATGTTGATAGATATCACCACATAAGTAGGTAATATGTATAAGCAAATCAATTTTGAATTCGTTGAAGAGACCACCTATTAGTTTTGTGTGTAGTTTCATCAAATAGATTATATTTATTGTTACTCATATTAGTTTTTACTAGAATTTATTTCGAAATCAATGTTAGCTATGTTGCATTTCTTAATTCATATTAATTTTAACGATTTTCTTATTACTTTACTAATGTTTAGAAAAATATTTTTTTATTTTTTTTAACTGATGAAAGGAGATAGACTAGTATGAAGAGAAGTAATAATGCTAACATAAAGAGTAATTGAGTTTTAATTTTTAATTTGGCAAAATCCGAATTTAAACTTTGGTGGTTGACTTAGTGTGTACTGTTACGATTCATAATATAATCAAGGCAAAAAAGAACATGCATTTCTGAAGTATCAACTGTACAAAACATTGCCAATAATATCTAATCAATAGGCGTTTTTTTTTTTGATAAAATAATCTGCACAACGTTTCCGGACGTATCGTGAAAAACGGTAAAACAACACATGAATGTAATCACAGTATGCCTCTACAATCTTCGTATTGACGCGTACATAAAAAATTACTATTAACAATAATAACTATAAAAAAAAATATGACCTTGAATTACTATTTTTCCCCAATGAGTAGTTTGGTAGAATATGTACTATTATTTACTGTGTATACGTCAAACAAACAAGTACAAAATAAGTCATCAGGTCTACATTAGCCAACTCGAGTGCAGTAATTCAGACACGTGCACGTGTCTCCGCGAACCCAAGGGCCTCAGGCTCCATCTTTTAATTACTAATAATTTGTCTACTAGACCATTACAGACTCGGCGTTTACAACAGTGGATGGTCCTATGGGCCATGGCCTCGCCGGGAGAAAAAAATACATTACACACCTGTCATAGTGTGTTCAATGAGTGTATTACAATGAAAAAAATATTTTTAATAATTAAGTCTTGTATTTATGTAAAATGATTGGTGTAAAAAATGTATTTTTAATGAAGATGAAATATTATTATTGTTGTAATTGCTTTGTGGTTTTAGATTATTCCTTTACAGTTTACCTATATCATATATTATAGGCTATATGTAATGAAAATTGGGCCAGCGATACCTAAATGCGTAGAGTTTACGAACGGCTCAATGCGGTCAGAGTAATTCTCAACTAAAAATTTCACGTTGTGTGTTAATTTGCAGACGTGATGTTAATACTTGTATTTTTTCACTAACAGATTTAATGTTTAACGCGTTAAAGAAAACCAGCTGAATATTAAAAAGCCTTAAGTGTGCAGTCTCTACAATATTATCTACTTGATTTTTTTTTACAGTCCTTAAGAATTTTTCTACTCCGTTTTGAATTTTGTTGGGGATGGTGAGATTACTCTTAAAAAATACGTGGTAAGACTTGATAAGACTCGCGTGTAACTATAACGGCCTTCAGCTTTGTCTGTGCATTTATGCACGTTGTACAAGCTCGCTTATTCGAGACTAATAAATCAGAAAATCTAAAAAGTATATAATATAATATGTTAATGTCTATAAGTTTCTGATAAAATGATTATTAGTAATTTAGAAAAAAAAATATGCGCTCATAGTTTTAAAAACCTACTAAAATTCACACTATATAGGCGTCTGTAATATTAAGAATTGCGAATACTGTATTATAATTTCATATATTTTGTGGTTTTATACTGTACAATACACAAGAAGATTTTAGTTCCGGGTTTATTTATTCTTTTATTTATATGTTTATCGTGAATTGGA